TTTGTACAAGAACAACCCTTGAATTCTGCAGATACCCTAAATCTCTTCAACTATAAGCTAAATAGAGCTAGTAGAGGGGCGTTATTTCCACAGAAGCACAGGGGTATTGGCAGGGGATTCCCACTTTGGGGAGAATGCCTTCAGTTTCTCCTATTAGACAGACCTAAATCAGATATTATGCTGATATGAGAAGGTGAAGATCCCAAAAAGGAAGTTCTTGTGTATGCTTTTCTCTGAAATGTTTGCTTCCCATAGATAAGAACTTCACGAGTAAACATTTCCATTACAAACCCTTTCATATTCTTTTTGAAAGAGCTTTTGTGTGTCAGCTCTCCTATGTTATTATGAAAGGATTAGCGAACATTATCACAACGGAACATAATGAATTAATGTTTGGCAGCCCAGGTCACCTAAGGTCTATCTTAAGTTGCAGTAGGTAACACAAGAGTGTTAAGGCTGAAATGTACGGTGACAATAGCTTGATTTAATGCTTAGAAAGTAAACCTGGACGTTAGGGCTTGGCTGAAGGTTCCTGCCTCCGCTGGCTGAATCCAGAAATTAAAACAGATTCTGTTCATAATTGAATACTACTTATTATTGAAGCAGAAGTACATAAAATATTCAGTAGTTTGAAGCAGATACCCCATAATAGATGCTTTTCTTCAGGAGGCATGAGAAAGACTGGTTTTGACTTTACTACGTTGTACTGTGAATTGAGAATGTCAGGTTTTGTCAGGTTCAGCCCAGCTGGGACATACAGTTTCTGCCTTAGTATCTCATGGAATACGAGTACAGTACTTCCCTTAGCCCTTCCTGGTGTGTATTGCCTGTGAGAAGGCAAGCTCTTTGTGCCAGGGTGCTTCTGATCGCCTCTGCCCATGGCTTCCCCTGGGCAATGCAATAACGTGCTGTAAATAGCAACCTACATCTGCACCACCCACAGTGCAAGTCTGAGAGTCAGTACGGACCCGCTACCGGTCTGTGACCGCCTGTTCTTGTGGGAAGCGAGTCTTGTTTGTAAGCTGCAAGGTGAGGCACTTCAGAATGTGATATACATTGAAGGACACATTCCAAGCCTAGTTTGGACCTGGATTTGTTCAAACTCAAAAGCAGGAGATTTGTTCAAACTCAAAAGCAGGAGATGAAAACTATCTATGACAGCGGTGCACAGTGTGCGAGAAGTGAACAGGAAGGTCAGCTTGATTTAGCTGATGTTCATACAGCATTGGCTGGGGTGGAATTTAAGGCATATTCTAGCAGCTGCACCTCCGTGTTTCAAAACTTTATTTTGATGGAAGGAAGTCTTACTGCTTTGCCAAAAACTCGCATCTCTGTAGGTCCTGATAACTGTCAGGCTAACAGTTTGAATGATCCATAGGTATTGCTTTCCTCTCGTGATAGTCACTGTCTTGTTTAGGACTCAGCATTGAACACATGTCATTTTTGATTCGTTCCACTGTATCCCAGCTTCCCTACTGCCTTTCCCCTCAGACCTCAGCAATGCCCAGCATTTGCTTTTGAAACAGAATCAAGGTAAAGTTCCTCAATATTGTTCTTTCAGAGCATATCTACATGGAGCTGGCTTTGAAATGTTCTGCAGTGTCCAGACAGACAGTGAGCCATGAGCATCACTTTCAATCACGATGAGCTCACTGTTAACATGTTCCTTTCCTATTGTTTCTTGTGCACTCGGAACTGTAAGTCTTTCATGACATGTGTATACAGTGTTGTACACAATGAGATCCCAGTGACTAAGTAGGGTTGGACTTCCAGTACAATGGAAATAATAACGTTAATTTATTTTATTGATGCTTTTGAATAGGATTTGCTGAAAAATTAAAGGAAATATAGGATATGGATCATGTTACCATAAAAACCACATGCAGCGAAACGTTCATCTGTCTCCAACATTTCATGTCTTCTGGGCATCTAAGATAGCTGAGTTTGACTTACACAATCAAGTCATTCATTAAATATCTGTTTGAGTCTTAGGCGGATGCATCCTTCACCTGAGTGATGAAATCTGACTACAGGAAACGGAGCTATTCCTTTGTGAAAAGAGCTCATTTTGCTTTATAAAGTGAGCCTTGCAGCAATACACTTCTAGAAAACTGCCACGCTTTGTGTACCAAATATCGTTGTAAGGGCTCGGTAATAAAACAGTTGTGGACTTGGGCTTGATCCAACCACACAATAGCACATCTTTACACAATATTTCCTCTTTCAACATCCATCGCCAACACTGTAATTCACTCACAACCGTCAGTTCATTTTAATTCCAAAATTCTAGCCCAGAACACAAAGCAATTTAGAGTCTGAGTTCTTGTGTGGGCATATTAATTACTTAAATCACTAGTCCAAATCATGTTCAAAAGAGTGCTTGCTGGGAATCCTTCAGGAGAAGACTGATCTGTTGCTTATGATCACCTACTAGATTATACTGTAAGTCAGAAGCACGCTCAGTATTTCCTATTAACAATGCTCTACACAGCTGGCAGTTGTCAAAGAACTGAGTGATGGTGAATGAAGGGAAAAGCGGCAAATATATGTTAGAGAATATTTATATGAAACGATCCAGTGAATTGATGTAGTTCCTGCTAGGGATTGGCTTGGAAACTTCTTCGCTGAGTCATTTTTAGAAAAATAAAGAAGCCCCAGGTAGATGGGAGAGGCTGTAAAACCTAACACTACGTTGAATGCGGCTTCTTATCTTGCAAACCACCTTGCAGATGAATACACGCAGGGAAGAATCACGCTGGTTCTGTGATACACAAGTTTCCCCTGTCTTTAGTGAGAGAAGCGATTGGTCAGTTTTGTCTTGTGCATAGTGGGGGCAACTGTATTTTTGTGTATTTCAGCTTTTGTGGTGTTATGAAAATAAAACCACGCAGTTGAGTCCATTTTGCATTTTTGTGCCTGAAACGGGCACAATCCAAGCCAGCTGCTTCAATGGTACGGTAGTCATTCAGATGAGAAACATCTTCTGCTCCTAAAAGGCAACTACAATATATTCACTCTGTTGAATAACCAGTCGTGCATTCCTCACTTGCCAGCATAATGGGACCTTCAAAATCAGAGAAGTTTCACATGACCTTAGCACACACGCCTGACTTTGAGTGGCTGAAAGGAGTGACCTCCATCCCATTCATCATAATGGCTTGTTAACACTCAACTCCACTGTTTTGAGGGTTCCCTGCCAATATTAACCCCTACGAGACCTGAATGGTACGGGGCATGGTTAGGCAGAGGTCACACTTAGCTACTGTGGCTAAATTTCCACTGCCCAAAGAACAGGCTTTTCTTGTGGGCAGCTTTTGTCGCTGCCCCTCCACAGAACTGGCGTAGGCTGAGAGTCACAGACATTAGCCAATTATGTAGCAGAAGAACACGGGATAATATTTTGCTTAAAGATACTATGGGACAATCAACACACAAGCAAATGAACACATACACCACTTACATTACACAATATTTACGTATAAGCCCCATATTTTATTCATGAATTTTACAATTCCAAATATAATGAAACAGTTAGAGTACTTTATTACAAAGCTTATAAAATAATTAAATATTACACTTATATTTTTTGCCTTTTTTACACCATAATTCATACTTTGTGACACTACCATTTTCTTTCCTCAGTTGTCACTTAAGGAAGTGAGCAAAGAAATATAAAGGAAAAGCTATGCATTAATAAATTAATTATTTTACATCAAATAATAAAAAGGACACAATTATAAAAACAAAACAAAAAACCCTTGTAGTTTTCCTAGAAAAAAGGTTATAATTACACAATGTTCAACATCAAGATAAAGTGGTGTAGGCTGAGATATGTTTTCAATCATCATTTCTTAAAGTATCATAGAATACATGTTTTTAATTTAAACTGTTGCAGAAGGAGCTGCTAATTTTCAGTGACCACTGTCTGGCATTAGTGCTGAGCTAGCTAATCTTATGCCGAAACGATACTTTAAAAAAACAGTAAAACTGAACTACATTCATCAAACGAAGTTGTGGGATTGGGTGGAATTAGATAAATATGTCCCTCATAGGCACTCCCCAGAAAATTACAGTAGAACACAGCTCTGTCTCAGAGCGGGTTTGGCAAATAGGCTGGGTATTTTTGCAACGCAGAAACTTTTTAAATTGTACTATTTGATATATAGTGTCACTGAACATCTCAATATCAAATGATTACAAATATCATTATGTTTACATTTCTTTTGTTTGCTGGTGGATTCTGAACTAAAGAAAAGTATTAGGAGAATGTACAAAAATAGAATTGACTTTTATTTGGTTAGAGTAAATAATCCACTTTTTCATTTTTTTTCATATAACCTGTGTGAATAAATAACTATGTAGAGAAGTTTAGCATGAATTAATGGACTGTAATATTCTTGTTATTTCCTTTGAGTAATGGATGAATCAAAATTTGCAGAGATTTGAGATTAAAAGGAAGACATTCTTTAGTATCCTGGCATTCAAACAACCTAGCTTCTGAAAAAAACTACTTTAAAATATCATGTTTAAATTTTAAAATTACATATCTAATGAGTTTAGAAAGTTGACAATATCATTGAGCTCAACAAATCTGAGTTTCTTGAGTTAGTTGGAACATGAAATTCTATTTTACTTGTAACACAGCAATATTAAAAGTCCAAATATTCTAATGCTGAATATTTCTAGGAATACATTTCAAGTTACTAGTTAACCACCTCTGAGTTTCTACACAAAGCAGAAAATTAATTCTTCAAAACAATAAAAACATTAGCATGATGCAAAACTTGCTTTTCCAGCAGCAAGTCTAATAGAGAAGCACCATATATCTTTGTAGTGCACTATTTACTTCTCGTGGTCACACGTGTGACGCTGCGCTCTCCAGACAACAGCCATTTGGATGTCTCTCTGTGAAAGTGACAGTAAACAGCTTCCTTACCCTGGGATGATAGCATCATAAAAAAATATGAAAAAGAAACACTTTTGATGATAGTACGATCTGTCATGCTGCCACGCTGTAACCTTCCTCCTTGCGTTCCCAACCTCCTTTGCTTTGCATTCTGGTAAATTAGCCAGAAAAGGCCTCCTTGCCTTAATTTCTTCCTCATAACATATGACAGTGCAAAATGACACTTTTAAAGAAAGAAGAACTGCCCCTCAAGTCTCAGTGTTCAAGTGATCTGTAGTACCCTGTACTTTAGTGAGGTCAGCAAATAAAACCAAGAAACATTCCTTTTTCAACATATATCCAACAATTACTGTACCTCAGACATTCCCTTAGAAAAAAAGTCTCTTCCATCAGTGGTTTATGTGGCACCATGTCTTGCCTCAAAGCAAAGTTAATTCCAACATAAATTGAAGAAGAGAATCCTGTCACTGAAGGGTTCAGATAACACGCTGCTATCAGTTCTTCTTCGTGCATGATTTACAACACTGCTTGCCGTAAAATTTGTGGTTACAGACACCATGCTGTGGTACCAGATGACACCAAGTGAAGAAATCCACACAAGAAGGATCATCTGAAAGAGAGAAATCCAAGCGATATGGTAAGACTGTGTTTTGGCAAGTCTATAAGTCAGGCAATAGCTCCTCACACTTGTATGCGTTTGGTAATATTAAAAACATGATGGGTGACTCAATTCAAAGAAGAGGAACCATGAGAATAATCTCAAAAATACTTGATGTTTTTTAAGTTTGTTAGGAGATGTTTAATTTGTTAAGAGGTGAAATCTGTTAATCTGATAAAGATAGAGCTAATATAAAAGGAGGGCCAGAGGCTAAAGGAATTTAAAAAATTAGAGCACGCTTTGAAGCTCAGGAAAACAGGAAGAAGTTCCACTGTGGAGGATAAAAAAGTCAGATATCCGTCTCTGAGTACAAATGTTGTTCTAAAGCCATGTACTTGTACAAGTGAGCCTGCTCCATGCTTGATGTTGATTGCTTGTCGCCATCAACATGTTGTGGAGTTTACTTGCCCCTCAAAGTAGGGTCAGCTCAGAGCGTATGTGCGCGTCCACACAAAACGCATGGAGATCTGAATGCATGGACCCTGCTCTGTGCACGTGTGTGACAAAGTGCTCTGCTGTGTGTGCATTCCAACACTTTCCAGAGGGACTTATTTCTCGCTGTTTGTCAACCGCTCAGGGAGCCTAAGGATCCTCTCTTCTTACACGCTTTAGTAAGGTGGCATGAATCGAGCTTTTAGGACTTGGACTATGCCATGTTGGTGATGTCTTAATGAACTGCAATGAGAAGAGAGATAGGCTGACAATGTTTAGCTCTGAAAAGCCCAGCTTTTAATTACAAATGCAAATAAACCACTTTTTTAAATTAAGATTTTTTTTCACTTAAATTTATGTACAGATCATTTCTACACACAGCCCAGTTGCTTTAAAAACATTTAATAGCTGCTCCTTTCTACAGTTTTGTAGTGGATGCTTTATGTTTGTTTAAAAGAGCAGAGTGATGATTCATATGGATGATTTATAAACAAATTTACCATGTCTGAGAGAGTAGTAAGACATTTAAATGAGGTTTAGCAAAATTTATAGCTAAACTGAAATCTCCTGTGAGCATGGGAAAAGATTCCATTTGACTCTCAGAACTACTGTTTACATGGTCAATAAAAGGAATTTACAAGGAGACAGTGAAGAAAAATCTAGCCACCGTTGTCTGTGTTCTCAGCTCAGCTAAGCTGAGTCACAGAAGATAAATGCTCCCTCACACAGCACAGACAACTTCTTCCTATCCTGCGGGCCAGCAGTCATCTCCGTCTCGCTATAGGAACCTTTTTTGATTAGTCACCACTTTGCTTTTTTTGATTCCCTTTTATATGATGGCAAAGGTGATTTTGTATACCTTTATTACCCTCAACTTTATTTGAATGAATAAGATAATAATATAATGATTTTTTTTTTTGGATCCATTTTCTTTTTTGCATCCTTTTCTCAACTTTATTTGAATGAATAAGATAATAATTTAATGATTTTTTTTTTTTTAAAAAAGGATGCCATTTTATTCCTCAGTTTTTAAAAACATAAGCCTTCTGTCTGTAAACGCTAATGTTATATGAAGAAAATACTTTCCTTGTGCAAACAGTTGTCCAGGAACTAGGAAGCTCAGTACTGAACTGCAGCCTTTCCTCTCCACAGCATTGCCTTTCTAGTCTTAATTGAGCGTCAGTAGAGATGCAACTAGGAGTTCAGCACCAGCTTTCACGTTACTTCACCTACTGTCCACCAGACAGAATTTGCCACTAGGAGGACCCAAAGCAGACAACAGATGAAAAACATGCACAACACAAAGCGAGGAAAGCTGTTCTGATTCAGTCAGGAAGAAGGTCTCCTGCCATGGAAGGGTAAATTTTCAAAAATTACAAATTACTGTTTAAAAAAAAATTATAAGCACTGATGAAGCAATGCTAATAAATCTTTATGTCCCTTTTGAAGATCAGAGTGTCATTCTAACATTACAGCGGTATGGCCAAAAACTTTACTCTTGGGACCTAATCCAAAGACCATTGGAATGAAGACAAAGAGTCCCACAAACTTCAATGGACGTGGATCAGGCTGCCACTTCCTCAAGTATTTATATGTTGTTTAAATTTTCATTCATTTTAAGCAGTTGGGTTTACTAGGAGTTACGGTGACCGTAACTGCATCTAACAGAAGGATGGAAATGACCCAGTTTGTCCAGGAAAGTGTGTAAACTCTCCCTGAAACATTAATTTCTTGACTGTGATCACTGAGCTGGAGCTGCATGGCTGATAATAGAGACTGATTTACTTCAATGTGATTCCAGCACAGCTGGTTCCCTCTCTTTTTGCTGGTTTAGACAGAAAGTTAGAGAGCAGTGAAGAGATAATTGATCTCTAGAGCCTGACGACCACGTTATAATAAAGGGGAAAGGGCTCTTGCAGATGTGAGGAGAGGCAGGAGAGAGAGAAACAGGCCAAGGCCAAAATTAATAACAGGCATTACTCCAGACGTGAAATATGGCAGAGGAAGGCAGGGGTGAAAGAAAAGTGCTTGCTATATCGTGACAGAAAAGGATGTAATACAGAAACTCCAAAGTACAGCAGAACTTTTTAGGAAGGTTAATTTGAAGTGTTAAGAACATTTACTTGTAAAAACAACAGAACTGTTTACTTATCCCATTTAGGACCATTTCATCTATATATCCTTGTTTGGATTCAGGTCCCCTGATACATCAGTTTGATACTCTGCATGTCTTGAGTTGAAGCAGTAGAGTGGTATGTTAAGATATCACGGGGTTTGACAGGGTTTCTGTGCACAGTGAATGCAAGGAATCGGTACAGATGAGGGGTGGTTGGCCAATGTCAATTCACAAGATGCAGGGCCAGAGCTTGACCTTTGCTCCCAACTCTACTTCCACCTTCCTCTTGCAATCCGGCCTGGGTTTTATACAAGTTACTCTCAGCTCCAGGTTTTAAAATGGTAACAAGACAGTTAATGTACGGTATTTTGAAAGTTAATGTTTAAAGTGCTTTAGCATACCTAGATAACTAGCATTATATGGGACAAACCTGGACCTCCATGAGCTTTTTCCCACAGTTAAGAAGGAGTCACAAACTAACCAGCCTGTAAGCAAATATATGGGATGGGGCTAATGTACCACTCTCTTTCTGTGGTGGTTCCGAAAGAATTCCCCTTCCATCATTCAGAGTGACACAAAATCTCCTGGTCCTCTAGAATTTCAAAGCACATTGAAGAGGTGGAGACGGATACAGTGGACATACAAGTGGGGACAGAGCTTAATTTCATGTTCCCTGATTGCTTGTCATACACTGATCAGCAGTAAGAAGAGAAGTACATTCTAGACAAAGCATTCTTGGACTCCCAGGATATGGGCGCAATCTGAAGCTTGGGCAGACTTCAAAAGACTAAAAAAAAATGGCAAATTCTTATTGCTTAGTTCAAAAGTTGCTATTTTAAATCATAAACCAGTACCAGCATAGGACGCTTCTATGTTATTCAACAAGATAGTATAAAGATGCAGCTCAGAACCAAACGGCACAACTTTTTGACGTACTTTTTTTTTAACATATCCCTATTTTTAAGATCTCCTGCGTCAGTTATACTCTCAAGTCTGCTTTAAGAGGGTTCACTTTGAGAAGAGAGATGCTGTAGTGTCAGAGAATAACTGTAAAGTGGAAAGTCTGGGAAAATATCATTTATGAAGGAACATGCCAAATATTAGTCTTCAGTGGGTGTAACTGGAAAAGGTGATTTTTCACTGGATACAGAGTTCTAAGCAGCCAACACTGCTGCAGCATGTAGAGCTGAGTTTTACCTCTTTTCACAGGGACTGGGCAGAAGTTAGTATTGCAGGCTCTCAGGACTGCTGGTTTCTGATGGGGCAAGCATCCAGAAGCTGGTCTTCCTTGGCGCAGGCACTGCACGCTCCGGGTTTGTACTCCCCCTCCACATGTTACTGTACACTGTAGAGAGGAAAAAAGTGAAAGCCATCTTTCATGATAGAGACTCTGTGGGAGCCCATGAAATCCAAAGGAGGAGCTTTCAAGGGCTTCGGGTGAGACTTTCAAAGAGAGAGGGGTCAGGATGGGATGTTTTGCTGTTCAGCAATCCTCATCAGGACCAGCTCTTCAAAGATGTGTGCATCTGTTCTCCCTTCTGAAAGTTTGGTTATTTAAGGACTCGGCTGAAAATTTGGTTCCTTGCTGAGGCATCGAGACAGAAATTGAACATTTTAGAAAACCTGTTCCTGATTGTCTGCACTGATTTCTTTTGAACTCTGAGCCTCTGAGCCCAATGCTGCTGTTTGAACAGAGATAAAGCTCCCATTGGAACCATAATTATGGCAGTATCTGGGGAAAACCACTATGCGTTTGCAGGAAGATCTATGAAGTATTTTTAAATGAATAAGCCTTTTACTTGTATGTGTTTCATGAAAAGTTGTCTTTAAGATAAATGTGACCATTTTCATCTGATTACAATTGTCAGGCATACATTGTTTCATGTAAATGTTATTAACTGAGTGTGTGCCTCATTGATATGTGACTCATAAAGTAGATAAGTTCCAGAAATACAGAAGCTTGTTTGCAAGAATGTAGAAACAAATACAGACTGATCCCGTAATTAATCATAGTATTTAGGGAATACCAGGCAATCTGTGCGGATGCTCAAATACCTTGTGCATACAGATATGTAATAGTTCACCCACAGTGCAGTTCAAGAAGACTGAGAAGAACGCAATGGAAAATGAGTGTGGAATGTAGTGCCTTTCAAGCACGAATAACAATTTTAGGTGACATTCTTCAGTTTCAGGACAAAGAAATGAGCTGCACTAAAGGACACGATGGATGTGGACCAGCTGCATCACGTTTCAGTGGCTGAGTGGTGTGACCTTTAGGGAATGGCTACGTGCAGGAGACACCGGTGGACTGTTAGCACTGGAGATATCTCCTCCATACAATCAGACATTTGACTACAGCACACTGTAAGACTGGAACTAGCTTTAATCTAGGTACCCAGGACCCACATCGCCCTGAAGTCACAGTGGCATGGTCTTCAGCATTTTACGCCAGCCAGGTGTTTGTGCCACTCCCGCTGGCGTCCATTCTGTGGCATATGATATCGTGGCTTTTCCAAGTTTGGTGCTCTCTGAGCCCAGCCCTGCAACCTCACCTTCTAATTACAGCGGATACACTGTCCCAGAGTCAGCAGTCACATCGCAGTTTTATTTTTAACGCTGTGTAGTGAAAAGCACTAGAGGATGCTACTCTAGCTACTGTGTAGAGAAACTTGCTCATTTTGCAAACTCCATAAAAGCCAAGACATGAAATAGTGCTGGAGAAAGAGTGCTAGCTGGGACAGGGAGAGAGGCGAGAAAGTTTCCCATTCCTACCTGCTGCCAGGGTGAGGAATACCAGCCAGACACCATGTTATACAACGTTTGCGATGGACAGGCTCCCTTGTAACAAGCTTCTTCCAGGTTGGTGTTCGGTTTCTTGATGTTTCTACATCTTCTCTGAGGAAAGGTGAGCAATTTCCCATGGATGCTTTTCTCGCCACATTTTAGTTCTCGCTTTTGTACGCCTGGGCCACAAGAAGCTGAGCACTGCAAAGGCAAAGTACAACTTCTAAATCTATAGAAACCCATTCAGATAATGGAGAATGTGCTATATGCAAGAGATGCCAAATTATGTGAATCTGCAGAAGCATTATGTAACTAAAACCACAAAGACCATGTTCCATAATGCGTAAACTGTAATATAAATCCAAATCAGTGGAAGTCCTGAAAAACAAAGACATCAGGGTACATCTACCTACAGCTGGATGTAAAGAACTGTGGTTTTATAGTGGCTTGCCTACAACACCTGATTTTCAAATGACAGCTCAGCTTTCTTCCCCCACATGGTTTGTGTGTGTCCCTAAGTCAACGTTTCCAAGAGCAGCAAAGGAAGGCCGTGAGCCATGTAACTGCACCACTTTACCTCACTCCAGGAAGAAATCACCCACTGGAGCCGATCATTTTTGGGGCAGCGTCCTAGCACACAGGTCTGCTGGGATTCAGGTTTATGGTCTCTGCTGCACATGCTTTCAGGCAAGATTTCGACCTTGGGAGAACTGGTACTTTTGCAGTAGACATCCCGTTTCTTAACACCTCTCCCACAAGTCTTGGAGCACTGTGATGGAAAGAAATATTCATTTGAACTAGAAGAAATGAAAATTAACATTATTTGTATTTTACAGCAGAGCATAGAAACCGTGGCTAATGTGCTGCATAGCTGCCACTATAATAGAAGTAAACTTAAAATTCTATTGGTAAATAAGTAACAGTAACATCTGTATGTCACTTCTAAAACATTGTTCTAAGTGTTTTCTTAATGTAAACCATGAACTCTTACAGCCCCCGTGTAGGACAGATAAGTAATATCTCTCTCTTCCGTAGATGAGGAAAGTTGGACTGGTGAGCAAAACGCTTTTTTCCCTGGACAGCATAGTTGAAAGCTGGTCCCAACCTCCCATCGCAACATCTCCCACGGCAAGATGTTCTCAGCTATTTGTTATTCTGTCCTCACCTTGGCCTAGAGGGATGAGAGACTGGCAGAGAAAACTGCCCAGGGAATCTACACATAACTCCTTCACCACATGAATCTCACTAGACAGAATCTGATACAGACAATGGTTAAGAGGTTTGACCAAAGATATTTCAATTGCCAAGATTATAGCTGAAGCTTAGGACAAATCACCAGCGGATAAACGCGCATTGCTGAACTGTGGTCCAGCTGAAACCACACTATAGTTTTCAGTGTCTTAGCACACAACAGAATGCACAAATGAGCCATTTCTGATGAAAAGAAGACATAAACGGCCCTGAAATAATGCTGCCAGCTCTCTACCTTGTTGCATCCTCTTCTAATTGTTCTTCTTTTAACTGATAGTTAAGGGGACATTCCAAGCAGAATCCTGCACTATCATTATTGGTATTACATCACAAATGTTTTTAAAAGATTTAATGAAATCAGAATTGTACTGAGGATGCAACAGAAATATCTGCATGCAGAAAACCTGTGGGTTTAATCTTTCCCTCAAACAAGCAAAAAACTAATCTAAAATTACTTCGATTTGTGTAGAGAGGCTGGGTATTTTGCATTTTTTTCCTTTTAATTCCTTTGAGCCTGTGCTATAACGGCTTTCAGCTGGATCTTAAAACCTTCACTAACTTTTTCAATTGGCTTGTTCACTACATTCCTGCAGGAATTGTGGACTTAATTTTCATAGGTTTATTTGAAAATCTCAACTTGAATTGTACACCTCCTTAAGAGGAAGAAATTTATTTTTTTTTAATTTGTGGGATTTTTTTTATTTTAGAGGAAGGAAAGTTTGAAAGTGTGGCTGTGTTTGTTCTTCCTTTTTAAGTGTCTAATCATCATTCCTGGTTTTTATAATCTCCTGCCACACTAAGGTTTCCGTCACATACACTGGAAAAAAAAGGGTTTTTTTGAGTGCTAAAAATCTGTTACGAGGGACTATTGAGTAGTTACTCATCTGTCATAGTACATTACATTAAGGCTGCTTCCCTGGAGAGGCAGCCTGTGCTTCTCAGCTGGCAATGCTTAGGTCAAGATATTCTTGAACACCTGAAGAGTAAGAGTACCAAGAAGTGTACATAGAAGTAATAGATTTTTCACTAAATTTAAATCCACCCTGAATCTCACTAAATGAAGATGAAAGAATAAAAATAATGTAGCTCCTTTTGATGTAAGTGTACTGTCAGCTCTCTTAAATCCCAGGTTTCCCAGTACTTCCTTTATCCTTACATTAACAGGTCATACCAGCAGCAATAGTAGTGAAAGAAAGAGCAGAGATGAGTTTTGTGTAAGTGTGCGTGTGTTTTTGAACTCAGGCTGGTTCACTGCCAGGCAGTTGGCAGGGCATGTTCACACTGGAATCTGCCCAGAGGCCTTGAGCCCCTCACCGCTAGTGACTGCAGCAGTACTCTACTGGCAGTAGAATGGTTAGCTCTAACAAAGGCAAAAGCATAGAAGTGATTAGTGAACGTGCAAATCACAAATTTATCACCCCACAATTCATATACGTGTGTGTGTTAATATGCAACTCTAACCTCCAAATATTTCTTCACCCCTTGACTCCCTGCCATAGCTGAGAAAAGTTAATACTGCTGTGGGAAGTAATCTCAGAGAGTGGTTAATGGCTTTGAGGAATCAATAGAGTCTTACGTTATGAAACCAGAAAAAATTATCCACCTGTTTGTATGTACCAAAAAGGACACCATGTGTCCACTTCTGGCAAGCCCTCCTGTCTGAGCACTTAGGAAAGCCGGTTAAAGTATACGCGTAGTTTGCATATTATGTTCATGAATAGAGCACTTGTAAAATACTGATCTTCACAAAGTTTGCACTATTCTTCTTTTTCAGCAGAGTTTTTGGCAATGTTTTCATTATGCCAGCAGACAAAAATGTAGGTTTTTCTCCAAATTACCTGAGACCAGAGGCCAGGGCTCCATTCAGGTGGGCAGTCCTGACTATTGCACATCTGCAGCTGTGTAGGGGTGCTGACAGGGCACAGGGAATGGGCCACTGCCTCCTCCTTTTGGAAAGCCCTTTTCTGGACACACTGAATGAGACGACTTTGTTGCCCTCCTCCACAGGATTTGCTGCATGCGCTCCATTCGCCTGTTGACCAGCTTAAAGGAGAAAATGTGTGTTAGGATCACAGGAGTCCAATTAGCTTTATAAAATACATATGAGCCATCTATCAAACGTTAATTATTCAGAGCTTCTGCTGAGCCTCCTCTCCTGATGTACTGCTATCTGTCCAAGCAATCAAAACAATGTAGTTACATAATCTGTCTTCAAAGCATGGAATATTTTGCTAGGGATGAAATATAAGTCACACAACTAGAAAAACTAGTATTACTTATTTACAGTTCTCATCTACCAGAACCAGTCTGCCTATGACTCTGACCCGGAATTTGGAATTCCACGGGGACTGAGACGCTGCCATTGAGGCTGGTGGAGTATTTAGAAGATCTCAGGGTCTGGCTAACAAATCACCATTCCTTTTTAACCACATCTATGCTTTTACATCTCTCTCAGAAGATAGGGCAGAGGAGGAAGATTCACCTAAGCTGATATAAGGAAAAAGCTGGCATGGCAGGGAAAGAATGGGGCCAGTTTAGCTGAGCATGTACCTCCCAATGTATCTGTGCATAGATACACAGGGTGACAAATGTTGGCATGGTGCTGTCCAGTGTTACTTATGTCAAACCTTACTGGCCTCTATTCACAAAAACCAACTTGCTTGCTAAAATCAGTAGTCCTGTCATTAGTGTCTTGGAGATTTAAATGTCCTCAGACTAATAAATTTGGCAGACAGATGATGTGGAATCTAAATAAAACAAAGGAAATTTAACCAGCAAAAGCTGTTGGGCAAAACTATACCCCAGTCACAGGCACACTTCAGTTATGCATCGTGTCACTGACGTTACACAAAGTCTGAAGAATTATTGCCGATTGCTTAGGATAAGCTCAGTTTTGAAATGTCACTAGCTCTCAGTATTTCTGTTACTGAAGCACTGAGGGGGGTCCCCAGCCTCTGTGGAACACTTTTGCAAACATACCAAGCATCTTTGCCATGAAGGCTTACAATATAAGACCACAAACAACAACTAGATAGGAAAAAAGAAGTGGAGAAACAGAGGAAATTATGAGTGACTAAATGATCACTCAGATTGATAACTGTTACTCAAAGACCCAGCACTGAAATTAAACTAAAGATTTTAAAACAGTAGTTGTATATATTTTTAGTAATTTATGCCACAGAAAAGGTTCTCATCTCAAATCTGACTCCTTGGCCTATCCTACTTCCACAGTTTCTCATAGCATCAGCCCTGTGATCACTGGAATAGCTGCTTACACAAAGTTATAATGACAAGAAAGCAGGTTTTTTTTAATTTTCTTATTGTGTGAAAGATGAACAGCATCCCATTTGCCTGTCTATTCACATCTGCCTGAAAACAAAGCTAATTTTAATTTTTAAAAAACGTATAAAAAGCCTATTTTTGAAAAATTCCTTTGGGAATAGAAGAAATCCCAACTCTCTGTCTAGTAACTTCAGTAACTGCCAAAAGTAGTAGGAAATATAAAAAACACTAATTTAAGGACAAAGAAATATTAATGCGAAAAGTCAGTAGTTATGTAATTCCAGAACACTTCAGAAGTTTCCTTTTTGTCTGATTTATAAATATTTGGACTACTACAACACCAACTTCTGGAAAAAAGTTATAGTTTTAATCCATTCTACAACTTTTAATTAGTTTGCCTTGATGTTTCTGACAACAGTGATTGGTAGAGCAACCAAAAGTGTTCTCTTTAAAAGTTTATTCACCATAACTGCCCAGAGAGTTCCTCTCTTCACACAGGAGAGGTCAATAAACCTACTTTAATGTCCTCTAGTAAACCACCATTTTCCAAGATTATCCGGGCTTTGATCCAAGAGTATCTTTCATTAGCTCAAATAACTAAATAATTATGACCAGATTTGGCAGCTCTGAAATCCAACAACAACAGTGTGCAGTACTGATGCCTTTCTGTGTTCTTACTGTTGGGACAGTAGTTTGTTCCTACTCAGACTAATAAGTCTTTGTTCTTATGCAGTAATTATTCCTCACTGACCTTCATAAGCCTGGAGCCTCTTTTATGTTACAAAACTGACACGCTTGTGTCTCATCTATTATTCACCTCCTTCCCTTGCCTATTATGTCTACCATATTTGTTTTTGCTTTATTTGCTGGCTATTAAGCATTCTTTGTTTCCTCCATGGTATTTATTAATACTACATTATTTGATGTTGGCAGTCTCAGTTTTATGGGAAATATTACATGCTGTGACTTTCTGGGCAGATTCCTCAGCAGAGATATTCTGGCATAGATTCACTCAGCTGAAAGGCAATTTGTTAATTTGAGACATGGTCCTACATGTAGATCCTCCATACATTAATATATCCTAAGGATTTTAAAAATAATTAATTGGTGAGTTGAATTGTTTTTCCCTCAAGGTGGCTTGAGGCTCCTACAGTTCTTTTTGTATCCTTTTTAGGGTTCAAGTCATTAATTGTGTTTTAAAGTAGTAAATGTAAGAGCATCAGAGCAATTTCAGCATGAAAACATTGCACTGCATGTCAAAATGGATATTCAGCATTTTCAGTGATGGGTATATCAGTGATTGTTCAAAATACATTGGGATCTCTGGTTAATGGAAATGGGAATTTTGTGCGTGGTCAACAGAAATGAATATGATTTTGGTGAAGCTTTATAGTATAATAATGTCACATCAAAATGAAGGTAAGCACAAACAGCTGAAAAAGACTCCTGGGAACATCATAGACAATACATTTCTGTGTACATGATACTGAGTTCATTGGATAAAAATAGTTCTGGCAGAAGATAAGTCGCACATGAAAAGATTGTGTTTGGCTACAAAGATTATTTAAAACTGGTATTGAGAAAATCATGTGGCTAAACGCAATCTAAAGAAACTGCTGAAGCAGGAACATGGGGCTCTCATGTGACATGTTACCCTTATTTAAACCTTATCTCTGTTGTTTTGTGGTCATAGTGTATAATTTGCCATTTGGATTTTGTGTACTCTGCTGTAATCTTTAAATTTTGCAGGAAATTCCAAACTATTACTGGATAATTTTTCAGTATGTTCAATATATTGCAAACTATGGCTTTTTAAGTAAAGGCAAAGCCATTGCAGAACATAGACATCTTTTTGCTTTGCCCCATCACCTCTTTTGGATTGGGGGAGATGGGGCATGTGTCCTATTAAACTTCATTAAATGTGTTATTTTATGAAGTATGGGAGCAGGCTTAGCTGATTACTTTTACTGCCCATTGCTTTAATCACCACAGAGTAAAACCAGCAGATGACACCAGGTCTAGAGCTTTCCTCTATTTCCTCTGCCTTCTGCAACCTGTGCATGTCAATGCATCTTCAACTGTCTTTATTTCCCACTGAAACGTTCTTAAGTTTTTCAACATAGCGCTTTAGAAGATCTCCCGTTCTGCAAGTCAAAATATTTTGGCCAACACAGTACAGCTTTTCTGATCTTTAGTATAAAATTAAAATACTGTTAAAGTTGCAAAGTCAGGAATCCAAAAGTGAAAAAAATAGCAGAAGAAAGATGGCCAATGTGTCCTTAAATCTACCTATTCATATCCTAAGGCACATCATAATACTGTGTTTAATTATATAAGCACATAACATTTTTTTCTATAGGACTCCTACCACAGCTACTATAAATCAGTGTAACTCCCTTGTTTTTAAAGGACCTCTATTGATTTAGACCAGCTGGATTCTAAATGCTTATCTGTACGTCAACGTCTTCCTTTGCATCTCACCTTTCTTATGTCTTGTAGAAAATAAGACTGTTCACATAGGCAATGTCTACATATTTATTTTTGTGGGCACCAGGAGCATTGCTGATGATTTATTTGGTTTAGATAGTCCTCTTCTTGGTATCATAATACTCTGTGGGACATTTTGTCCAAAAATCACTAATTACACTTCACAAGATTCTTTTAACCTAATCTAATATCTGGAATCTGAGTCACGGGGCCAAGCTTCCACATGGGGAGTAGCACTTTACTCAGGAAATGGTCTTATTGATTCAAGGTGAGTAAAGGTGGCAGAGCAGGCCTCTAAGTAACTTAGATTTACTCAGTGTCACATAGCTAACCCCAGCATGGTGACAGAGCTGCAAGCAATCCTCAGGAGGTCTTGCTTCGCAACATTAGAAATACCGCCTCTGTTATTATCATTGGGCAGAAGCCGACACAACCAACATTTTTAAACAATTACTGTTTTATGTTACAGAATAAAAGTGGGTTCATCTAGCAGGCTATGCAATTCTGCGTGCCTATCAGAGAGGACTTCTTTCGTGGCAAACTCAGTCATAAGGCACAGCAAAAAGGTACAAAAATAAAGAGAACTTACTACGCTGGGCAGGGATTAGCATTGCACAGCTTTGTTTCAGTTAAAGGCTTCGTGCTTGGGCCACAAAAGGAGGAATTAACTTGTGTACGATGATCTTCTAAACAAATTGATTTTGCTGTAATGTGTCCTATGGAAGTATTAGAAAAAATACAGTAAAACAAATGATTACTCAAAAAAATAATAGAAAAAGCAGTAGGGAAGAATTTTAACTAAACAAGTCTAAGCTCATCCTTGGTACTATTCCACTGACTTGAAATAACTAAAATAGAAATTTGGCAACATGTTTTTTACATTAATTTTCTTCTCTGTAAGACAGGTACTACTGAAGTCAGATGAAACATTGTAGTTATAAACAGCATATTTGCGATCTTCCCCCAGCAAAAGTTAGTAATTCTTCAAATCCTAATTCCCTGCAGAAACTAACAGTGCTTGCTTAGAGCCCTCCTCATGCACTTGCAAACTGCAACAAAACATTTTGCAACTTTTTATGGTATATCTTTACAGACTTCAGAGTTCTGCAGGCTCCCGTAAATTTATAGTTGACACTATCTAATGTCAAAATGAGGACAGATTACAGAGAAGACTATAAATGCCTTAAAATGTTCAGGGATTTTAGATTCATCCTTTAATTGAGATGTATCATTCACCTCACACATGATTCATTGGGCACAGCAAGTCAAATTTGGAAACACCGTTGCTTCCATCATCTTTCTATCCATGCTGCAGCATTTATTTGTTTTAAAGGAAAGTAAGAAAAATACAGTTGTCATATTTTATGTCTGCAGTGCTCCTGGTGGGTCTTTCTTCCATGAACAGTCTCTGGAGACGCTGTAACATCTAACAACACACTAGCAAGATGTTCCTGAATTTCACCTGGACTTTTTTGCCAAACAAGAGCATAACATGGCATTTCCTTGGTCACTCAGGCCTGTTTTTTGGTATTAAAGACAACTGCATCATATATTCTTATTTATATGACCCAGTTCCAATTTAAAGGCCACTAAAATTTTAATTCTCAATTCTTTTTGCAGGACTTCCCACACGCCAGTTTTCTGCTTTCATTGCATCCCAGAATTACTTTCACTGACAGAACATCCAGGATTTAGAAAAACAAATAGATGGTCTGTGCAAAGCAAATACCTAGAGGAATATGGTAATAAGAATTCTTAGCTTATATAGAATTTCAGACTCTGACCTGGCAGAACTCAAATATTTGTAATTAAACAGTGAGAAGATCAGGGTGCAATTGACAGTAAAGATCTTGATAGTATTTTAGTCTTCAATTACAGATAACATAAATTTTACTTATTTTAAAAATATGAAAGAGTATTGGCAAGTGGAAAGTTACCTACCACCACCACATGTAGCTGAGCACTCTGACTGCACCGTCACCCAGGAGTAGCTACGTTTTTTGACAGATGTCTTGCTTTCATTGTTGGTTTTGGAAAACGTATATTCCCAAGCAATCCCAGGATTTTTGCCTTGTAACAGGATCTATAGAGGGGTATTTGGGGTTTGTTTAAGAAAAAAAGGGGAGGAGGTAAAAAAAAAAGAAAAGGATTCTGTCATTCTGCAGGAAGATGAACTAAACATGATACACACATAATATATTTATACACAGCATGTTTGCAAAGGAATTTTCAGGAGACCTAGTTTTTCGATAAACTAAAAACCATCAAAGTCTTTTCTAAACAGTAAAGCGTTTTCTTGGACTAACACCTGCAGAGCATGTAACAGAAGAGTGCAGAAATACACTGTGCAGCACAACGCTCCTTTAAATCAGAAGGCATTTGATTGGGTTGGTGAGGCAGAAATGCCTTCGGTAGATGTGAAATATCACCCAAAGACTTTTGGCAATGCAGTATTAGTCACTGCCCCTGCTCCAGCTCGCTGTGCTCTGCTCCTGCAACTGGCCCTTAACAAGTGGGTCCCTGCGTTCACCGGGGCTCCCTGCAGGTGCAGGAGTTTGCCTGAGGCAGTGCGGTGGATGGGTTAAGGATTTGGGGTGGGAGAAATTTCCTCTCTTTTAGTGAGCAAAGTCCAGGGTAGCTGATCCTTCTACAATGCCTTCTATGAATGAAGAAGCCTCTGCCCATTAAGTAAGCAGGACTCAAATGCTTTACTGAAAGAAGCTTGAGCAAAGCAGTAGTATAGCTGTCTGGGGACCGGGAATAGAGGTGGTTAGAGATGGCTTCCTCAGTTCTTGAAGCTGAGGGTACAAAATATATCTTTTTCTTTTTCTTGGAAAAAACGTTTTTCTATGTGAACTGGTGATAAATTTTGTTTAGAAGACACTCAGCTGATATTTTTCTCACAATGATTGAAGCTGATAAAGCTTCAGTGCAGGAGAAGGCCCATCCCTGGGTGCCTACAAGGAAAAATGGATTGGAACAATCTTTTATTCATTATTTTAGCGTAATGTGTTAGAAGATCTATAGAAGGTGTGATTACTGACTATAATAACAATCTTTGCCATTTAACTCGAGGAGCCTAGCTCTCAGGGTTGTACTATTTTAGTGGTGAATTATATTGCAGTTTTCATGTAGGTAGCTTTCTAAAATTCCCTGTATTTATTTCAAGTCTGAATTATAATCGATGCAAGATGCATGGACATCTGACATATACCTAAATTTGGGGAGAAATTTCTATTTAACAGCATCTATTTTAGAAACTTTTCAGCAGCAAAGTGTGTTTATATTCATACTTAATAGAAAAAGTGCAAGAGTTTACAGTTACAAAGCTCTACTATGTTTTAATTCTTTACCAATATAGATCTGGTCATAGTAATATAAAGAGTAGGTGCAGTTAACCTCAGTTCCTAAATATACTTTTTGAGAAGTACAATCCTTTCGAGTACAATTTCAGTCTATGCTAATTATTACCATTCAAAATATTAATAAAATTAAGTCCACATGAGGTCTAACCCGAGTGCTTAAGCAATCCATGTAGATAGAACTGATCTCTGCATAGATTGGTTTCATAAAATAGCAACAAACTTGCATTTATGTCGTTTAAGACCAAGAAATAAAATAACATTTTGAAATGTAGCCAAGGGTTTTACAGTATTCTCAAAACATACCTATTGGAAACCAGAAATTACCTATGACAGTGAAAATTCAGACCAAATTTACATGACCTCCAGCTCAATCATGTTGAACACATGAAGGACCTGGACTGCATACTGTTTATTTTCTGGAAGAAAGAAAAATGGATGCTATATTTTGCATTCTTAGTAACCAAAGCTTTTACTTCAGTCAGTGAACCTTAATAATGATTCAAACTGAGAAGACAGCAATCAGGACTGTAAAAGGCAAAATACTTCTGAAAGAATTGGAGAGTACACTCCTTCTCCTTGGAAGATTCAGATTAGAGGATCCTTCAAGCACAGGTAAATTAAACTATGTCATGTGAGACTTCTCGTCTCACCCACCGCAGCTTAACTCATGGGCACCTTAGAAGAGCTGTGAGATTATGGAAGAAATAGATCTGAGAGCCATTACTGAGCGCGCTATTTTTACTGAATACTCCTGATAGAAATAATAAGACTGTATCTGCTTTAGAGGTGAGTCGTGTATGTACGTACATAGCACAAACAGTTTACAAGAACAGGATTAAAATCAAACTCTCTGAAATCAGGAAACATTGGAATTGAGACCGCTGTGCAGCTCGTGCTCCCTGCCCAGAGGCACTCTGCATCTCTGCATCTCACACCGTCTTGCCAGAAAGCCTCTGGCCAGTGCTCACAGCACAGGGTGCTCACCAATGAGCGTATTACAAAGTTCCCATATTTTACCTTATGCTCATCCATCCATGTGTGATTCCATGCCCTATTTGCTATGGTCTATTCAAAGTGTTACCAGCGTAACTTTTTTCAGGACCTTTCTTTTTTCCTTGGCTATTGATCACTATCTAGTTTTGCTTGTAGAAAGCTGTCCCACAGCTGATAGCAAAAAGTCCAATTTTGTGAAAACAGCTGTTCCACAGTCATTCTGAATCTTGAACCTCAAGTCCACGGACATTAGAGTTTCTAGAAAAAACAGGTTGCAATAAAACGTGTTCACTCTACTGTCCTTCTCTTAGGGACAAATTGAGACAAATATCTAATGTGTAAAGTTTCAGAACACGTGCTTCAGAAAAAAATAGGGTGTGTTAACCCTGACTAGAATTGAGCGCTGGAAAACTATTCTTTAATTGAAACAATTCCTTTCCTGGTTCTTCTTACAGACCAGACCTCAAACTGCTTTAATTTGCTTTTACTCATTGGAAGGTCCTACGAGTCCAAAGTATTAGCAAAGGTCTCAGCATCTTAGGCTGCTAGAAACAATTTCAGAGAGTAGCTTTACTTTCTTCTTGTGTTAGAAAAGATCTGGCCAATGTATGAACAGTTAAAGTCAGATTTCCTCCTTCATGGTCCCATAAGGATGCACTGTCTCCCATTTCAGTAGATGCTCTGTGTTCCCTCAAGTGCAAAGGCTGAAATTCTGTCTGACCTTTTAGTAAGTCGTGTCAAAAGAGGAGGAGGTCTTGTCCATACCTCAAGAGCTTGTGTAAAGGTTAGCCCTTGTCTCATTTGATTCTGACAAGTGTCATAAAACTGAGCTATGTCAGTGGCCAAAAAAAAACGGGACGCTTAAAACTTTTCTAATAAAAATATCTTGAAGTATTAAACTGAACACTTGTCTTCTGAAAGTGCACTTCACTTTGTGATAGTAGAGGCAAGAGACAGAACGAAAGCATCCTGAACAGCAGAATTCAGAACACAAGAGAGAGAGGATGAGAAGATGAAAGTAGCAACCAGTTTTACTCCTGTTAGAGCGATATTCTCCTGGCTATTCAACAGAGTGAAGGGAATAAAGAGGAAATGATCTCAGACGAGTTGGAACAAGACATGTTAGTATCTATCACTTCAGAGAACAACCACACAATGATGCAAGAAACTCGCAACCCCGAGCTGAGTGAGTGCCGGTGGGGCGAATCCTGCACCCCAGGCAAGCTGGGCCATACACATTTTAAGACCTTGGGCTACACCCTCTTCTTGCACATTGGAAAGTAGACACAATTCTAACAGACAGATGAAATGAGCTTCCTCTCCATTCCTTGGCCAGCAGCCAAAGCTAGCGCCCCTTCCCACCCAGCAGACTACAAGAGGGAATGTTTGCAAAGCAGGAGCTGCATTCACAGTCAGATTTCTTTCCTCCTGTGTCATCCCAGCTATGTAGAAAAGGGCAAAATCAAACTCTGGAGAAGTATCGGAGAGAAAATACTGCAGGGCACAAACCCATATACTTTAAAGTCCCCTGCACTCAGTTGAAAAATAGTACACAATGTATAATGTTCAACCAAGTTTTCATCAGGAATGCAATACTATTGCAAACTTGCAATTTTGCCAAAGTAATGAGCATATAAAAAGTGTTCTATCGTACTTTCAAACATTCATTATAAAGCCCATCCTTAACAACCCAATAACTGAAGTCTGCATATACAGCCAAGTTATCAGACCTACAAATTTGGAAAGACCTCCAGTGCTAGTCTACTTAACTGGAGGCATTCCAGCATCTTTTCAGCCAACTGGCATTTGCTCCCAAATTTACAGCTGGCAAACAACCTCCTTAAAACATTTCCAGTTCCTCAGTAGAACTGTTTAATGTCTACCTTTAACACACCAACCACCTGACTTCAGACACAACACTCAGCAGCTCTGACCGCAGGGCGCAGAGTTATAAAATTTACAGCTTCTTGAGTTCGAAACCCACAGACTCCATGGCTGGAATCTGCCAGATCTGTTCTGAAGAAAAAGAACTGTGGCTTTCGCTTAGGGCACAAAATGTTAAAACAATGGATAAATTGAATTCTCCTGAGTAAGGAACCTTTTCCTTTGGCTGCTAATTTTGATTTCAAAGCTAAACCAATAAACTTTCTACACTAGCTGTGCATCTGCACCTTTGTTTGATATCTTTTTTTTTTTCTTTTCCATGGCTATCCTAAGTTTCCAATACAACACTCCATTTTGCAGGGTAAATTTTAAAGACTCTATCAACATTGCTTTGTTATGATTGACTCTGTGCTTTTCAAGAGTTTTTTACTGTAAGATGTTTATGTGAAGTTACTTGCAACACACTGAATTAAAAGAGATTAATTGACACAAGATAAACTCCTCTTTCTTCTATAATATTCTGTCCAACAGCATACTAATGGAAAAGCATACTAATGCCTGGCATGTTACAAGCTGAAAAAATGACTCATTATCTCTGTGAAGGACTAATAGCCACTTACAAATCACTTCCAGAGTGAAGTTGAGTATAGAGGAAAGGCCAGGCAAAGGAATAGCTACTGTTTACTCGCATGTGCGTCATGTATTTTCATCTTTACTCATTCTACACGTGCATAATTTACAAAATGGGCATGAGCCCAGACTTTGAATCCCAGCATACATGGTAGCTTTGATCTGAGTCTTCAGATTGCATCTACATTTCCTGGGTCACTCCCGTGCTTTG